AATAAAGAGAAAAACTAAATGTAGGAAGGGTGGGCGGCGAAAGAATGATGGAGAAAGAGGGAAAAGGGGAGAAGGAATATGAGGATTGGGGAAGAGAGGGAAGGTGAAAGAAGGAAGAAAGAAGAGGGGAAATGGGAGAAGGAATATGAGGATTTGGGAAGAGAAGGAAGGGGAAAGAAGGATGAAAGAAGAGGGGAAAGGGGAGAAGGAATATGAGAATTGGGGAGGAGAAAGAAGGGGAAAGAAGGATGAAAGAAGAGGGGAAAGGGGCGAAGGAATATAAGGTTTGGGGAAGAGAGGGAAGGGGAAAGAAGGATGTAGAAAGAGGGGAAAGAGGAGAAGGAATGCGGGGATTGGGGAAGAGAGGGAAGGGGAAAGGAACACTTAGGAGAAGTACGGAAGTGGGAAATAAAAACAAGGGGTTGGTGGGTAAACGAGGGGAAATTAAGGTATGGGGGGAGGGGGAGGTGAACTGGGGGAAATTATTATGAATTTAGAGAACTCTTCATCAAGTTAATCCAAGTTATCTTATTCATTTCCCATTCATATTGAAATCTCAGACTTTACATTCAATGTATTCATTCATTATTCATCCTTACTCCTAGCAATCCATTCTTTCATCCTTTCATCCTCCCTATTCATTTATCTTGTATTCAATATTTCTATTCATCTTTCCACTTAGCAGCTTCTTTATTCATCCATCCAATTCATTCATTCTGTATAAATGATTTATATTCATCATTCCTCCCAGCACTTCATTTATTTATACATCAAATTCATGTATCCTGTATTCATCCTTTCAATCATCCTTTCTATTCATCCTTTCCTTCATCCTTTCTGTTCATCCTTTCAAACATCCATTATCTAAGCAATTTGTTTATTCGTCCACATTATTTATCCTGTATTCATTCTATTCATCCTTTCTGTTCATCCTTTCAAACATCCATTATCTAAGCAATTTGTTAATTCGTCCACATTATTTATCCTGTATTTATTCTATTCATCCTTTCTGTTCATTCTTTCTGTTCATCCTTTCTATTCATCCTTTCTGTTCATCCTTTATTCATCCTTTCTATTCATCCTTTCTATTCATCCTTTCTATTCATCCCTTCTGTTTATCCATTCTAATGTTCTTTATATTAATCCTTTCTATTCATCCATTTTATACATCCTTGCTATTCATGCTCTCTATTCATCCTTTCTATTCATTGTTTCTATTTATCATTTGTATTCATTCTTTATATTCATCCTTTCTATTCATCCTTTCTGTTATGCTTTCTGTTCATCCTTTCTGTTCATTCTTTCTATTCATCTTTTCTATTCATCCCTTCTATTCATCTTTCTTTTCATCCTTTCCATTCATCCTTTCTGTTCATTCTTTCTGTTCATCCTTTATTCATCCTTTCTATTCATCCTTTCTATTCATCCTTTCTATTCATACCTTCTGTTTATCCATTCTAATGTTCTTTATATTAATCCTTTCTATTCATCCATTTTATACATCCTTGCCATTCATGCTCTCTATTCATCCTTTCTATTCATCGTTTCTATTTATCATTTTTATTCATTCTTTATATTCATCCTTTCTATTCATCCTTCTATTCATCCCTTCTGTTATGCTTTCTGTTCATCCTTTCTGTTCATTCTTTCTATTCATCTTTTCTATTCATCCCTTCTTTTCATCTTTCTATTCATCCTTTCCATTCATCCTTTCTGTTCATTCTTTCTATTCATCCTTTCTATTCATCCTTTCTATTCATCCTTTCTATTCATCCTTTCTATTCATTCTTTCTGTTATTTTTTTTCTATTCATTCTTTCTATTCATCCTTTGTATTCATCCTTTTTGTTCATCCTTCCTATTCATGCTTTCTGTTCATCCATTCTATTATTCTTTCTTTTAGCATTTTATACCATTAACGTGATTTTCCAAATTCCAACTTTAGTCCTGTAGTCCTTCACAGTCCATCTTTAGTCCTGTAGTCCCTCACAGTTCCACTTTAGTTCTGTAGTCCTTCACAGTCCCACTTTAGTTCTGTAGTCCTTCACAGTCCGACTTTAGTCCTGTAGTCCTTCACAGTCCATCTTTAGTCCTGTAGTCCTTCACAGTCCCACTTTAGTCCTTTAGTCCCTCACAGTCCCACTTTAGTTCTTTAGTCCTTCACAGTCCCACTTTAGTTCTGTATTCCTTCACAGTCTGACTTTAGTCCTGTAGTCCTTCACAGTCCATCTTTAGTCCTGTAGTCCTTTACAGTCCCACTTTAGTTCTGTAGTCCTTCACAGTCCCACTCTAGTTCTGTAGTCCTTCACAGTCCCACTTTATTCCAGTAGTCCCTCACAGTCCATCTTTAGTCCTGTAGTCCTTCACAGTCCCACTTTAGTTCTGTAGTCCTTCACAGTACCACTTCAGTCCTGCAGTTCTTCACAGTCCCACTTTAGTCCTGTAGTCCTTCACAGTCCCACTTTAGTTCTGTAGTCCTTCACAGTCCAACTTTATTCCTGTAGTCATTCACAGTCCATCTTTAGTCCTGTAGTCCTTCACAGTTCAACTTTAGTCCTGTAGTACTTTACAGTTCATATTTAGTTCTGTAGTCCTTCACAGTTTCACTTTAGTCCTGTAGTCCTTTACAGTCCCACTTTAGTCCTGTAGTCCTTCACAGTCCCACTTTAGTCCTGTAATCCTTCACAGTCCCACTTTAGTCCTGTAGTCCTTCACAGGATTAATTTCTCTAAATGTCCTATCTACATATATCTCTGCTGCAAAAATCGTCAAGTCACTTTTAAAGAAAATCGAAGACGCCACTTTATAGATGGAGGGTTATTCAAAACATTTAAAGAAAATATTTAGGAAAGCCACGGCGTGGAATGCTTCGCAGAGCTGTGTTCTCCGACTTCCAACGGAAAGGTTTGGAGAAAAGATTTCAAATTCAAAAATATATTTCCAAACCTGATCGGAAGAAATTAGCGGAAAAACTGGGCTTAAAGGATTCACAGGTGAAATAAATTGCATGAAAAAAAATTATTTAAGAAAAAAATTCTTTGTTTTAATATCTTGTAAAATCCAATTTTTATCCAGAGTACAAATTTAAGTGTATTTTTTTAAGAAAACTATATCAATGTTGATAATTTTTCATAATATTACTCTTATTATTATGAATATTATTATTATTATTGTGATAAATAAATATTAGTATTATTGTATTATATAGTAGACTCTATCTATTAGTGTCCAAGCCAGCCTTTACATTAATAATGGGGAATTTCCAGATCCATGTATCTATCTATCTATTTATCTATCTATCTAATCTATCCATCCATCTATCTATCTATCTATCTATCTATCTATCTATCTATCTATCTATCTATCTATCTATCTATCTATCTATCTATCTATCTATCTATCTATCTATCTACATATATATCTATTTATATTTCTATCTTACTATATATTGATATATATATCTACCTATCTATCTATCTATCTATCTATCTTTCTATCTATCTATCTATCTTTCCATCTATCTACATATATATCTATTTATATTTCTATCTTACTATATATTGATATATATCTGTCTATTTATCCAATTTTATGTATCTATCTATAATTCTATTTATCTATTTAACTGTCCATCTATCAATCTATTCCTAGCTTAAGACCTGGTTAAAACCTGTTGTTTCTTACGTTAAGATCTGGTTTAAACCAGTTATTTCCTTGATTATTATCTGGTTTAAACCTGTTATTTCCTAGGTTAAAAATGGTTTAAACCAGTTATTTCCTAGGTTAAAAATGGTTTAAACCAGTTATTTCCTAGGTTAAGATCTGGTTTAAACCAGTTATTTCCTAGGTTAAGATCTGGTTAAAACCTGTTATTTCCTAGGTTAAGATCTGGTTCCAGAACAGAAGAATGAAATGGAGAAACAGTAAGGAACGGGAATTGCTGGCTTCCGGAGGAAATAGGTAAACAAAGCTAAGAGAATTTTTTTAAATTTAAATTCGTCTTTTTCTGATGCGGCAGGAGCCTTTTTGATTTCTGACATTAAATATCTAAAACTTGTGTTATAACTCCATCAATTTTGATGACAAAATGTATGCATGTGTGCATATTAAAAAAAGCTTGAGTTATATATCGGTTTACTAAGTAGATCTCGAAAAAGGTAGAAAGAAAACTTAAAAATGATCCTAAAAATTGTATTTTCAGGGATCAAACCCTTTCTAACAATTGTATTTTTAGGGATCAAATCCTTTCTAACAATTGTATTTTTAGGGATCAAACCCTTCCTAACAATTGTATTTTTAGGGATCAAACCCTGCCTAATAATCAAAATTTTAGGGATCAAACCCTTCCTAAAAATCATAATTTTAGGGATCAAACCCTTCCTAATAATCATAATTTTAGGGATCAAACCCTTCCTAATAATCATAATTTTAGGGATCAAACCCTTCCTACCAATTACAATTTTAGGGATCAAACCCTTTCTATCAATTAAATTTTTAGGGATCAAACCCTTGCTAAAAATTGTATTTTTAGAAATCAAACCCTTCCTAACAATTACAGTTTTAGGGATCAAACCCTTCCTAATAATCATAATTTCAGGGATCAAACCCTTCCTAACAAGAACAATCCTAATCCTGATCTGACAGATACATCTCCGACACCTATTCATAGTATCGGTAAGTTTTTAGGTTAACCACACAGGATGAGATTTCAGAGACAACTGTTCTGAATTATTCCCCTCAACTGAATACATGTTTTTTTTCTTTATAAAGATTATTTAAATATCCAATATAGAACTACACATATTCAAGACATTGGAACAGATTTAATCCGTAAGCACGTTGTGATATTATTAGTTTAGGCCGTCACAAATGTCTCATTCTTTATGGGTATTTAAAAAAAATTGTTACCGCCTGCAAAAAAAATAAAGTCTTTTTTTAGCACTTTATCCCTAACAGTCATTACCCTAAGAGATTAAGTCCGACAGATAAAGTTCAGTTTTGTTCTAAATCTCTAAAAGTCCAACCAATCAGAAACCATTTCTCTGTCCATTAAAAATGCCGGAAAAAACAATTTTAGCCATTAATTCTGGATTAATCTCTAAACCGCTGCAAAAGGGATTAGCGCTATTTTATTCAAAAATTCCGAACTCTGGGATAAGTTTTTCTCTAACCCAATGTTTGTAAATTGTTGTTTTCTGTCGAATAAACCGGTTTTGAATATTTCCAACAAATTGTATGCGATGTTATAAGAAAA